TCTGAAATTTCTGATAATTGTCAATAATTTTGAAAAAAATAATCTGACAGATTTTAAAACATAATATGCCAATTATAAATGTCAGCTAGCGCAGACGACCGATGCTTAAGCCGAAAACAAACTATCATATTTTCGTTAAAAATATAAAAATAATATAATAGATTATGGGACATAATCTGTCAGCTTATGACCGATGACTGATGCTAGAGTTGGATATAACATATCATTTTTTAGAAAAAATAGAAAAATAATTTGACATGTTATGATACATCTTCCGACAGAAAAATAAATTTTCAACTTATAATTTGACAGATTATGACTGGTGCCGACGACCGATGACTAAGTCTCAGTGTAATCTGAAAGACTATAGATCATAATCTAACATATTATTATTGGCACCTGCGACCGAACACCCATGGTAATGAGGACAACAGGAATGCAAGGAATACTCACAATCCAATTCAAGTCCCAGTTGATCCGGTGACGAGGAATCGAGCTAAAAGATTGCAAGAAGAGTTGAATAACCTAGTCCGGAGAGTTCTACAACAAGAAGAGAGTGTGTTCACTACTGAGGGTGAACAAAGGCTGGTTTTACTCATCAAGGTTGATCCGGAAGAGAGCCAATTAGTCATACACGTGCATTGAGCGATTGCATGACCAACTTGCATGTCATTTCAAGATACACGTGCAAGGGGAACTCCAAGCAGATGTGGGCATGTTTTCCAGCAAGGGATCAAGTCAAGATTGCGGATCAAGATTTGATTTCGTTATAATCCATTTTTTTTAGTTTTAAGTTTCAGTTTAAAATTTGAATTCCATTATAGGTGTGTTTAGAAGGAAGGATTTTAAGTCAAATTCGGATTCCTTCATAGGATTTGTTTTAGGCGTGTTTTATCTCATTAATGGTAGATTAGGACTTTTACAATTAAAAACTCTTCATGAAAGATTCGGCTATTTAAGGCTGGCTTTTAGGTAATGCAAAACAGTTTTTGTTGTTTATTCATATTGTGAGATATTCTTCTTAAGTTCTTGAAGAAACTTTTCCGAACTTATCAAGGATTCCTTGTGGTGTTCAACTTGACTTATCAAACGGAATTTCCTTACTCGTTTGTGGCGTCTTCACCATACCAAGATTCTTGCTTGGCTAAGCAACGGGTCGCGGTTTTCATCAATCTTGAGAGATCTTGAGTCGTATTCTAGATTTGATATCGGGTTTCATCATGTTGTTGGCGTGGTTCGTATCAGTTGGTATCAGAGCCTAAGATCGTCAAGTTTTCCTATCCTTTTCTTGTTTATTGCGTTTTCTTTTTTTTTGTCAAAAAATTGGGCATTGAGGTTAGGTTTTCAATTCTGCAAAGAAAAAAAATCCGATTGTTAACTTCCTACTTGCTTTGAGTTTGAGTCCAACTACTATTACTTGAATTCGAATTCCACTAGGTTTACAAAGCCTAGAAAATGTGAATTAGGGTTCTAGTGTTTCTAAAACCGATAAAAAAAACCGTGACAAATTTGATTTCGTTTGGTTTGATTCTCGCCTCGATTTGCTGCTTGAATCCTTCTTATTGTTGGATTAGTTTTGAAAGAACTAGAAGAAGAATGCAAGTGAAAAAAAAAAAGTGTGTGAGCATATTAGAGGGTAAAAGCCAAATTAAATTGAGTGAAACACGAGTGGATTTGAGTGAAACACGAGTGGTTTTGAGTGAATTATTGTTCAAGTGTAGGGGTGTAAATCGGCCGGGTAAGGTAGGGTTGAGCCGAAAAATTGAGCCTACCCGACCAGTGCGGGTTAAATCTACAAACCCGCAACCTTTCAGGTGACCTCAGGTAGGGTCGGGTTACTCGGGTTGGTGAAAACCAATTTTAATCTATGACTTCATCAATTTTAATCTAAGAGGCTCTTATATGCAAATAAATGATAAAATATTATTGTAGTAAATGAGCAATAAATAATATATGCAAATACTATTGTAGTAAATAATTATGCAAAATAGTCCATATAAAATAAACAGTTTAATCCAGAATAAACAATCTATATAAAGATAAACAGTCCATATAAAAATAGTCGCAAAATAGGATATGAAATAAAAGTTAGTCCAGTCCAAACTGTTTAATCCAGAATAATAGCATCTTCATTCCCAGCTTGCTCCTCATGTGTTGCAACAGAATTTGACAAATCTTGAGAAGAAAACATAACAAAAAAAAATTATCAGAATCAAATTTAGAACAACAAAGGAAATCCCACAAAGGCAGCAACCATGAATAAAAGAAAAACTCGCAATACAGTTGACCAAAATGTTAAGAACAAGATCTAGAATTACCCACCTCCACGGCACCACCACCACCACAAAAAAAAAAAAAAGAACGCTTACTGACTAATAACAGAAAAACTCTCTGATGCTTCTCATCTCTAAATACGGTATGATCCATGACTAATAATAGTGGAGTTCTATTAGTTGTGTGAATGTATGCATTCGTGGACAGCATGCGGATTCAATAAATATAAAATGTCCATTTTATATAATATGTGTTTTTTTTTTGTCATGGTGTCTTTTTTTTTTATGTCCATGCGGATTCAATTGGATAGTCATGGTGTCTTTTTTTTTTTTTTTTTTCTAAATCAACATATAATATCATGTTCCAACTTCAACATAATATATATAATAGATCAGGCCATCTACACTTGGTAAAAAAAAAAAAAAAAAAAAAAGTTAAATTCGCCTAGATTGGCGAAATGGGTCGTTGGAGAAAGAAAGGATTTTGAAGGAGAAAAAAGAAAAAAAGGAGGGGAAAATTGAAAATGGATCTGAAGCAAATTGAAATCGAAATCTTGCACTCACCTGATCAATTATTAAAAGTCTGTGTATTATCTAAAGGTAAAAGAAAAGAAAGGAGAGAGATACAATGAACGAGATTGGTTGAGTTAAGCCTTAGCCTGAGGCGACCAAACCCATGGACAGACAGACGAAGAAGAACGAAGACAAAGAGAACAAACATTAATAGAATCGAATAAGGAACACTTACGGTGAAAACATAAGCAAAATGGAGAGAGGCGAGATGCGGAGCCACGGAGGCAAGATGGAGGCGGAGCCATGGAGGCGAGATGGAGGCTGAGCCACGGAAGCGAGATGCGGAGGAAGGATTTGGGAGGCTAGAGGCGAGGGAGGCTGCGAGGAAGGATTAGCGATTAGTTAGACTTAGGGCTACTGGGTTGCAAAGCTGATTCCGCACATTACAAACCCAGGAAACTCGGGTGGGTCAGGGCAACTCGGGTGAGTTGTTGCCTGGCCTGCGGCCCAACCCGCACATTGCGGGTTGGGCCTATTTGAATCCGAGTTTTTAAAAAAAAAATTTTGAATCTCAAGTTGGATCGGGTCGGGTCAACTGGGTTTTGCGGGTTCGGGCTCAATTCTTACACCCTTATTCAAGTGAAACACCTTTTAATCATGTCGCAAAATCAGGAGAAAAACACAAGCGAAGAGATTCCACCTACCGTTAATCCGAATCTACAAATGCAAGCATTAATGGGAGAGATGAGGCGGATGATGAGGGTGGAGTTCGAACACTTACATGAGAGATTGGATAGCGTAGAAGAGGGAACACAATAGGATCAACCACCAATTACTCTGAACGCTCCAAGGAAGAACATGATCCACCGAAGGGGAGTTGAGGATATTAGTGAATTTGAAGGGGACAATTTAGAAGAGGAGTTTGATAGAATGTCAGTGGGCAGCCATAAGAGATATGGACGGAATAGAGAAGCTAGGAACTGAGCGGATAACAACTTGGGAAGTATCAAGATGAAAATTCCTGCGTTTCAAGGAAAAAGTGATCCCGAAGCATATCTCGAGTGGGAAAAGAATACGGAGTTGGTTTTCGACTGTCACAACTGCTCCGAAATAAAGAAGGTAAAACTTGCTGCAATCGAATTTATTGATTATGCTATTGTGTGGTGGGACCAAGTATGCACCAGTAGGAGGCAAAACGGAGAACGTCCTATTGAAACTTAGGATGAGATGAAAAGGGTGATGAGGTGACAATTTGTACTAAGTCACTACTACCGAGATCTATACCTCAAGCTGCAAGGTCTCCATCAAGGTAACCGGAGCGTTGATGAGTATTTTAAAGAGATGGAGATAGCTATGATAAGGGCCAATGTGGAGGAGGATCGGGAGGTGACAATGGCCAGATTTTTGAATGGTTTAAACCGAGAGATTGCTAACACAATTAAAATACACCATTATGTGGAATTGGAGGATTTGGTGCATATGGCAATCAAAGTTGAGCGGCAACTCAAGAGGGGTGGTACCAGCCCTGCGAAATTCGAGTGCAACACCTTGGAGGACGAACTATCCAAAGAAAGAAGAAAACTCGTCCACCTTGAAGGCCAAACCTGAGCACAAACCAACCACCAATACCACGGCCTTTCAAGGTAAATCAGCCCCTACTTCTACTCGTTCTAGCGAGATTAAGTGTTTCAAATGTCAAGGAAGAGGACACAGCTAACCAATGTCCAAATAAGCGAGTTATAGTGATTCAGGAAAATGGAGAAATTGAGTCTGAAGATGAAGATGATCTAGATGACATGCCACCATTGAAGGACACCCCCATAGGAGATGAGGAGTTCGGGGCAGATCATGGTGAGATGCTTGGGCTAGTCGCATGTCGAGCCTTAAACTTGCAAGCTAAAGAAAAGGAAGAAGAAGTATAGCGGGAGAACATCTTTCACACTCGTTGCCACGTGAAAGACAAGTTATGTAGTGTTATTATCGATGACGGTAGTTGCACTAATGTTGCTAGCACTTCAATGGTTGAAAAGTTAGGGCTCACAACATTTAAGCACCATCGTTCTTACAAGCTACAATGGTTGAATAATAGCGGTGAAGTGAAGGTTACAAAGCAGGTTGTTGTACCGTTTCGAATTGGTAAGTATGAGGATGAAGTATTGTGCGACGTGGTACCAATGCAAGCGGGACATCTCCTTTTCGAAAGACCGTAGCAATTTGACTAGCATGTGCAGCATGACAGCTTCACCAACAAGTATTCATTTACGCACAACCAACAGACTATCACTCTAGTTCTGTTGACACCAAAACAAGTCTATGAGGACCAAGTGAGGTTGCAAAAACTGAATGAACAAAAGAACATGAGATAACAAAACAATGAGAGTAAAAAGAGAAGGAGGTCGTGCATAGTGAGAGTGAGGGAAAAGAGAGATACACGGCCAAAGAAAGAAAAAAAGAGAGTAATGTTGAATCTGGTAAGGAAGAAAAGAGAGAAAAGTTTAGCCAAGGAGATAAAAACAGAGAGAAAACAAAGAAATTTCAATGCAAAACAAGTCAGGTTAAGCGAGCGTTGATTTCAAAACGGCCGATGATTGTACTCATGTACAAGGAGACCTTTTTAAACACTAACCAACTTGACTCTGTGTTGCCTAGTGTTGTTGTTTCTCTCTTGCAGGAATTCGAGGATGTGTTTCTCGAGGAGGTACCGCATGGTTTACCACCTATCCGAGGGATTGAACATCAAATCGACTTTGTTCCAGGTGCATTAATTCCAAACCGACCCGCATATAGGAGCAACCCGGAAGAGACGAAGGAGCTTCAAAGGCAAGTCGAAGAATTGATGGAGAAAGGGCACGTGAGAGAAAACATGAGTCCTTGTGCAGTTCCGGTGATTCTAGTGCCTAAGAAGGATGAGACATGGAGGATGTGTGTTGATTATCGAGCCATCAACAACATAATGGTAAAGTATCAACACCCTATCCATCGCTTAGATGATATGTTGGATGAGCTACATGGTTCTTGTGTGTTTTCTAAAATCGATCTTAAGAGTGAGTATCATCAAATACGAATGAATGAAGGAGACGAATGGAAGACAGCGTTTAAAACTAAAAATGGGTTGTATGAGTGGTTAGTCATACCGTTTAGATTAACTAATGCACCTAGTACTTTCATGCGCTTAATGAATCATGTCTTGCGTGCTTTCATTGGTAAATTTTTTGTTGTCTATTTTGATTATATTCTAATTTATAGCAAGAGTTTGCATGATCATGCCTCACATTTACACTCGGTTTTTCAGGTATTTAGAAAGGAGAATATGATAATCTCAAAAAGTGTACTTTCTGCACTGATAAGCTTGTTTTTCTAGGTTTTGTTGTGAGTGCTAAAGGAATTGAGGTTGATGAAGAGAAGATCCAAGCCATCCAAGAGTGGCCGACCCCCTCCAATGTAGGTAATGTGATAAGTGCATGAAAGTGCACCTAAATTGTTCATAATTGCTAAATAAATTGAGTTTTAATTAAATATTTTCGTGGAATTAATATTTTGTGAAAGTATTTTATTTTAATTTAATTTAATTTATTTTGTAGGAAAATAAGACACTTGGGCCAAAACTATAAAGAGAAAGAGAAGCCCAAAGCCCATCTGAGGCCCATCAGCCGTCAGCCAGCCGTCCAAGCCAAGCCAAGCCGCGCTTTTCTCCTCAGTGTGCCACGTGTCATTTTCTGGCACGCTCAGCCGCGTGGAACCCAACTGTCCCCACGCGTACGCGCGCTTGGGGCGCACAGATCCTTCCCCCGGGCAAGTCTCCTCCACGCACACGTCAGGCGCTTCTTCGCTTCTCTCCGCGTAGGCCCCGGTCGTGTTGAAGCTTCCACTCACAGCGCGCCGCGTGTCTCCAACGGAAGCAGATGTCGGCCGTTCTTCTTCTCCGCGAATCACAGCACTCCACGTGTCGGCATTAATGCAGTGGTTGGCAATTTATTCCGCTCAGCCTCTCCTCGCATGACACGTGTCCCACCCGTTGGGATTCTTCAGCCAGCTCTGTTTTGGTTTCGTTGGGATAATTCCAGCATTCAATCTCAGCATAGAGCCTTGTAAATCCAACTTAATTTGATAAAAAAACGTCCTTTTATGTTTTTCTTGCTGAGTGTTTTTTTACATGCCTAGAAACTCTATAAATAGGGCCATTGTCAAGGTGATTAGGGTTGTTAATTTTTAACCTAAGTTTAGACATCTTTTTCTCTTTGGTGAGGTTAGAGAGAAACATATATGTGAAGTGATCTTGAGTAGATTTTGATTCTCCATTTGTTCTTCAAAGTTTATATATTTGAGTGATTAATTTTCTTCTATCTTCTTCTAATTTCTCATATTGATATATTTTATTGTCAACTTTTATATAAATCTAGTCAATCTATTTTTATGTGATTGTTGCATGATACTATATATTGATAGATATTGTTTTATGAGTAGTCTTTTACTGCAATATTACCAAATGGTATATTGTCGCTCTTAGATTTCTCTTAAGATGATTTTTCCTAATACTAAACGTAAGAATTTTACTCACTCGAATACATTTTAATTCACATGTTCTTCAAATATATATTTTCCGATTGTTAGTTTGAGATGTGAAACTTTCAATTGAGTAATCTCAAAGATCAAAATCCATTCGAGTGAACGAAGCATATAGGGGGATCTCAACGCCTTACCGGTTTTAATTATATAATTTTCTCCTATATTTTTCTTACACTTAAACTTCTCAATAAAAATTCTATTCTCTTTTATTTTTACTTTATTATTTATCTCCTAACGCTTTTTATTTGCTAATCATTTCTTGTTCAATTTGTCACTTCCTCGTGGGATCGACCGTCCAAATTATATTACAATTGACTGCTTGTTTTTGTATACGTTTGGGCGTAACCAAATTTTGGCGCCGTTGCCGGGGAGGTGCGTCAACAAGATTGTTCAGTAGATAATTAACCAAATAAGTAAGTACTATTAGTCTTTTACTTCTTTTACTCTTTTTGTTTGGCACGTTTCAAAAAAAAAAAAATTTCTTTATTTTGTTATATTAGTTTGTAGTCGGTCTTCAGTTTCTTGTGTTTGTTAAGTTTTCTTTATTAGCTTGATAGGTTTTCTTTTTATTTGTTTACTTTTTTTTTTAATTTGTTAAAAAAAAATGTTGAATGTTGCTTGTTATTAGTATTACGTTTTAATGATTATTGTCATTTTGTTTCTGACAGTTTCTTTCTTTTGGTTTTTAATATTAGTTAATAGTTTATTTTATTAAGTTTTTTTTATTTTTTTTTATTTTTTTTATTTTACTTTTGTTTATTATGTTTGCCCCGTAGTTCTCATTTTCTGTTGTTTCTAAAAGAAAAAAAAAAGTGTGTTTATTAGTTTTTGTCAAAATTGTATACTCTTTCGTTTCTTAATACCTATTTAGGATTCCTTTTCTTTATTTTCTTTTAATTTCTTTTCACTTCAACCGTTATTGGTAGATGTTGGTGTATTTTATTATTATTATTATTATTATTATTATTTTTTCTCCTCCCTTTATTTATTAGTATTTAATTGAATTCAATAGCCTAATTTAATTTTTCATTCATAAATAATATTAATTTTTAGGTTGGGATTTTTAGGTTGTGACTTTTAAGTGATCAATTTAGACATTAAATTAGGACTCTTAATTTCTCATAATTTGTAGGTTTTAGAATAATATTAACTTAGGGTACTAATATCTAACATTTAACATTTCATAAAACACATCATAAAATTTAATAAATTTTCAAGCAATTTTGTGGAAATGTTGAAAAGTACGAACTAAGGGAGTTCTGTCTAGGAGGCTGGTTCCTGTTAGCGTTCTACGCCACCAGTCTTTCCTGGGAACGTTGCTCTGTCTAGGAGGTTGGTTTTTAAGGAGGCTTCGCCCCACTAATCTTTCCTGGGAGCACTCTTGGGGGTTGCGATTCGCGGTTCTACATTATTGTTTTCTTTGTTAAAAAAAATTAAAAAAAAAAGAAAAAAAAATAATAATAAAAAAAAGTGAAACGTTGTAGAGTGAATGAATCGTTATAGAGACGACTCGGGGAGATTTGCAAGAAGACCGGACAACCCTAGTGAAGTTTCTTCCCGCACGTCTAGTCCTCCCTCGACCCCAGCCTCATTAGCAGTTGCAAATCCGTTCATGATGGCTCAAAACGAGGAGGTCCAGCAGAAGACGTTGAACGATTATCTTCACCCTACACGTACGGCCACACCGTCATGCATAATGTTTCCCCCTAATATGTCGAATTTGGATTTCAAGCCGGGCATGATCCAACTCTTGCCGACCTTTCATGGGTTAGAGAGCGAGAATCCATACGTTCATACGACGGAGTTTGAAGAAGTAGTGGCCACTTTTCACAACCGAGCTGAAACCGCAGACTCTGTGCGATTGAAATTCTTTCCTTTCTCTTTGAAGGACAAGGCTAAAAGCTGGTTGTATTCTCTGCAACCTAGGTCTATTAGAACTTGGGAAGAAATGACAACATCATTTTTCAACAAGTATTTCCCTCACCATAAGACCAATGGTCTGAAGCGACAGATCTCGACCTTGACCCAGAAGGACAATGAAACTCTGTATCAAGTTTGGGAACGGTTCAAGGATCTGTTAAATCAGTGTCCTCACCATGGTTACGAGAGTTGGCGCCTCGTCAGTTATTTCTACGAAGGACTCACGATTCGAGAGCGCCAATTTGTGGAGATGATGTGCAATGGTGAGTTTCTCCAAAAGGATCCCGAGGAGGAGGCTTTTGAGTATCTTAACGAGTTAGCCGAGAAAGCCCACACATGAACTGGTCCAAGTGTTACTGACAGCACCAATAGGTCCCGACCAGTTGGAATCTATCAATTAAGGGAGGAGGACAACCTCAAAGCCCAAGTCGAATCTTTGACAAGGCAAATTGGGGCCCTCAAAGGCAAAGAATGTAGAAGAATCCACATGGTCGCAAGGGCAGAGACACATGACCATGCTTTGTCTGTGGTGGGGTGCAACATCTAGCTAAGGATTATCCTGCTTATGGTGAAATGATGGGGGTTTACGAGGAGCAATGCAATACTTTAGGGGCATACAACAAACCCTTCTCTAACACATACAATCCTGGCTGGAGGAACCATCCAAACTTCAGTTGAAGAGATTCCAACCAAGCGCAACCATCAGGAGGACAATGGAGGACTGAGCAACAGCCGCAATCACCAAAGGTGTATTCTACACCTCAATACAATGCGCAACAGCCAAGGAGTTCTCTTGAGAACACCTTACAATCTTTCATGGAGGCGCAGAGTAAGACGAATCAGAAGTTCGAGTCACTCTTCACGCAAATGGTGGAAGAAAGTAAAGAGATGAAGAGTCAAATCACGAAGCTGACTGGAGCTTTGACTGTTCAAGAACGCAGCAAGTTCCCTTCACAAGCTCAGTCAAACCCAAAGGGCCAACCTTGAGGAGTTTGTTTCCACACTTTTGTATCATATTTTTATTTCTTTGTTTCGATTGGTGTGTTTTGCGTGCTTTTATTTGCAGTTTGTTATTGTGTGATTTTATATTTGTTTGTGTGTTTTGGCGAATCAATTCAGGAGGCTTGGCTTTGTTCCAATGTTCATCATCCAGGTGTTTTCTTTCCCTGTCTTCTTCATATTGCATATATTTTTATGTCTTCTTCATATTGCATATATTTTTAGACATTGAGGACACTGTCTGATTTTGTGTTAGGGGTGGTGAGCATATTCATGCGTGAGATTAATTTTTGTCTTGTTGTTATTTTGGGTCAAAATTTTTACGAGATTATCTGAGTATGATTTCAAAATGTTCGGTTTGAGTCAGTTTTTGCTATCTTAATTACCAAGAAATGATTTCCAGAGTTCTTTTTGCGCACATGCCAAACCTTGTGGTAAGATGGTTGCTGACACATCTAGTTGAGAAAAACTCCCGAGTTTAAGTTTTTCATTTTTGGTGAGTTGTGAGAGTTGAGAAAACAACTTTTTGAACTTTCATTGATCTTTTGAGTTGGTTGATTCATTAACGGAGCATCATTGCTTGACTTGTGACATTTGCTTGAGGGATGATTTCTGATTAGGAATAATTTTTAGAATTGAGCCATGTGTTGTAGATATTTATCATTTTTCTTTTGTATTTCTTCTAAAAAAAAAAAGAAAAAGAGCAAGAGCATCATTTATCATCAATGTTTACGTAGTTTGGTTGCACTCACGTCTTGTGCCGCATAGCAACCAGTCAAAAGAATTCCTTACTACGTCAGCTTCATCAAATGCATGGTGTCTCTTGCCTTAAAAAAAAAGAAAAGGAAAAAAATCATAAAAACAAAAAAAAAAACAAGAAAAGAAAAAAAAGAGTTTGTGTATATTTGTTTGTATTTTTTGGCTCTTTGTTTGTTTATGAGATCTTCCTTTTGACCAGAATGAAATTCTGAAAGTTTGTT